CGAGGGTAAGGTGGGCTGGGCAGGCTCCCCTGCCACTGGACCTGTGCCCCCCCAGCGCTTCCTGCACCTCCCCTCCCCTCCCAGTGCAGAGGTGCCCCAAAGCTATCTCTCTCCCCTCTGCTCAGCGGGCGGGGCCCTCTGGCCTGCTCGGGGTGCCTGGCCCCTGGCCCCTGTCTCGCGCCGGCTAAGATTACCTCTGGATCCTGCGTGTCAGCAGCACCGCTGCCAGGTCTGCTGCTTTTACTGCCTCCCCATCTGGCCTGAGCCTCCGAGGAAGCGGGACGTGTGCGGGGCTCAGGTTCTGCTCCCGTCCAGGGAGGAGGGCTGGGGTAATTTTGAGACAGATTCCAGGCTTCTGAGACATCGGGAGGGAAGGGGAGCTGTCTGGATCCTGAAAGTCGCCTAGAACTGGTTGGCTTGAGGCAGAGAGCTGCTGCCAGGATTCTGTTTCTGGAAGGATCCAGGTTGTAGGTGGGAGCCAGCCCCAAGGCTGGAGTGCTGTGCAGCGGGCTGGCCCCTGACTCCTTGCCCTCAGCCGAAGGGGCAGCCCTGCGACCCGCCGCCGCCACTGCTTCCACCTCCACCTCCACTTGCACGCCCGGCTCCGCCGAGCCTGGGTGACCACAGGGTATTTTTAGCCGACAGTTCCTGCTCACAGCTGAGTGCTCGCCCTTAAATATTTTATTAAGTTCCTTTTTATTGAACACAGGCCTGTGTCCCTCAGAAGCGGAAACATGGTGCAATGGGTGTCCCAAGCCCCTGGGCTGTCCCTCCTGCTCCCCATCCCCTCACCTGTGCCTCACAGGGGTCCCCCGCCCCGGGGGCAGGCTCCCCTGCTGGGGCTCACCCCCCTCCTGTGCCCATCACGATGTACATGTGTGTGCTAGTTGCCCCCAGAGACCCTGAACCTCTGTCCCCCGCAGCCTCTCCTAGTCCGTCCCCAAGAGGGTCTCTCTGACGGTCATGCTCCCCGCTGCTGCCCTCTGTGGGCGGGCAGGCGTGTGGGCACGGGCACCCCGGCTTCCTGCGTCTCTCCTCACAGCCGGCCCCCTCCCTTGTCCGAGTATTTCCTAGCTGCTCGCCCGTCCCTTCTTGGCCTTGTCTCCCTCTTCCCCCCATTTTCCCTTTTTGAAGAAGGCGGCAATGGGGGGACACTGAGGCCGCCCCATCACTGTACACACTAAAAACAAAACCCCCTTGGCCTGCCTCGTCTCCTCGCCTTGCTCCCGTGCTCGCGTCCCTGTCACCGGTCTGCATTTCCTCATTTGTCCCCTTGCCCGGCAGGCCGGGAGCCCCCTGCCAGCAGGGACTCTGTTTTAGCTGCTCTGTCCTCAGTGCCTGCACATGGTGGGCACACGCTGCAGAATGAACGAGTGAACAAATGAATGAATCTGAAAGGCAGGCGGGCCGGGCAGGCAGGCAGTGGAAGGTCGCTGGGATCTGGCCCTGGGGACAGAGGTGCAGGGCTGGCTCCTGCCCGCCCAGGGCCCCTCTCTGTGCTCTGCTGGGCTCTTCAGCACTGAGGGTGGGGCTGGCAGGGCATATCCTCCCCGTCCCGTGTCCTGCCCCTGCCAGCTCTGCTCGGGGAGGAGGAAGCAGTGACTCTGTGGCTCTTAGAGAAGGCGGTGTGCCCCTGGGTTTGCTAGCAGAAGTTAAGCAGAACTTCACAAGCCAGAGTTGGGTGAGCCTGTGGGCGCCCTTGTGCTCAGCCCTCAGCACCTGCCAGGCCCGCCTGTGTCCAGCCTGCTGGGGGCCGGCGCTTGACTTGGCTTCCGAGCGGTTCCTGACTCGGTGCCCCTCTGCCCGCAGGTGTTCCGGAGCGGAGAGGGCATGGGCATCCGCCTGGATAACGCCTCCGCCTTCCAGGGCGCCGTCATCTCCCCGCACTATGACTCCCTGCTGGTCAAAGTCATCGCCCACGGCAAGGACCACCCCACGGCTGCCACCAAGATGAGCAGAGCCCTGGCCGAGTTCCGCGTGCGAGGGGTGAAGGTGAGGCCGCAGGCCGTGCCTGCCTGCCGGTCCTGCCCGTCCCGCTGCGCTCCTGCCCCTTTGCTGCGTGCCGATGCGCCTGCTGCTCTCGGCCGCTGCTGCTGCCAGGCCCGCAGCCTCCTGGAGTCGGCCCTTGGCCAGAGTCGAGGGTCTTGCTCGGGGGAGCCCTGTACTGCGTCCTGCCCCTCGGGTGAGGTCCCCTGGAGCGTGTGTTCAATCCACGTTCCACCAGGCCTTCCTTCTGGAAATTCTGGCCCCGGAGGTTTGGGTGGGGGTCCTGGAGCCCGTGTTCTGAACAAGCTCTCCGGGTAGTTCATTCCAGGAAAATGGGGACAGCTGGGTGAGAAGGCAGGCCCACATGGAGGTGACATTGCATAAAGGCAGACCCCACCGGCCCTCACGGCCCCGCCAGGCCTGGTAGGTGCTGAAGGTTGGCAGCTTCAGGGCCAGCCAAGAAGGAGGCTGCACCGGGATGCTGAGCCGACGGCCGGGGAGGCCAGGGGTCCACCTTCGGGGGCTCGCAGCCTGGCTGCCAGGCGAGGACCAAAGTGCCCGTTGGCCTCTTGGTTGGGCCACGTCCCCCGGGTCTGTAGCTGGAGATGAGCTCACAGCCACATACTGCCTTGTCTTTGAGGCCAGCGCTGCTGTGTCTGTGGGCCTCCCCGAGGCAGACGCCGCCGTCAGACACTGCAGGGCGAGGAGAGCGGGAGGGCAGGGCTCTGCCTTGAGGGGTGGCCCCAGGCAGACCCCCCATCCTCTTCTGGGAGTTCCCAAAGGATAGTCGCCCATCTCAGAGGCCACCTTCCCCTGCCCGCTGCATACGGGGGCTGCGAGGGGCTGGCTGATGGCCCTCTGGTCGCTTTATCCTCCTTTCAGCTGCTGCCAGGCCTGCCTGTGGTCCAGGCTCAGCTGGTGGGGTTGGGGTGGGTGGCAGTGCTGTTCTCTCAGCACCTGGCTGACAGGGCCCTGCCCTGTGTCCTGGTAGGTGCCCCAGTGGGCACAGAAGCCTCTCGACAGAGCTTGTGGCAGGGAGGGAGGGAGTAAGCCCGCGGGACCTGTGCTGGGTGGCCATGTTCCTCAGGCCCTCAGCCCCGCTCAGAGGGAACACCTGTTTGCCAGGGTCTGGGGGTCTGCGTTCTTCCTGGAGGAGCCTTGGGGCTCCTGGCCAGGGGCCGTTTCCTGCATGTGTGCAGGGACCGTCATGACATCGTGTGCTCAGGCTGCTTCTTGCCGCAGGGGCTTGGTTTTCTGGCATTGTGTCCTGGGGCTGCTTCCAGGCCTGGGTGGCCAGTGCGACCGTGACCCCAGTAGGGGGCCTAGCTACCCCACCCCTCGCCTGCCCTCCCCTGTTGCTCTGTGTTGTCCTTGTTGGTGACCCTGGCTGGCTGCTGTGGGTGCCCCTGGGCCCTGGGACGTCCACCTGTCCTACAGCCTGGCGGGCTCACGAGTACCCACTGCCCTAGAGCCCTGAAGGTGGAGGAGGGAGACAGGGCCATGGGGGCCGCAAGGAGGATGGTGGGAAGCCAGCAGCAGGACACATGTTTTTGGTTCCTGGGGGTACCAATGACCTCCCCAAATGTGCGCGCACACTAGGCCATTGGCTCCTGCCTCGCCTGGGGCCTCCCACCAACCCTGCCCTTGCCCCCCTGCAGCTCCTCGCCCCCCGCCCCGCCCTCCCCCCGCCCCTCAGCCCTGTGCCTGCTCTGCCCTCTCTCCGAGGCCCCTGGCGGGCTCAGGCTCTCCTGCTCTTCTCCATTGAGGACCTTGTTTCATTTATTTAAACCAGGATCTTTCTTGGGCCACATCCAGGTATGTGTTCTGGGGCTGGGAGGGCAGGCACATGTGTGTCAATGCTGTGCAAACCCACAAGTGTGTGAGCTTGGCCTGCACACGTGTGCATACACACCTTACTATGCCAGCTCTCACCGGGCTGCCCCACTGAACCACGGCGGGCCTTCCACGGGAACACCCACCTGCCCCTCGGCACATGCGCTGTGGCCCAGGCACCATTACAGGCCCTGGGGGGTCGGCACCCGGCCTGCACAGTGGGGTCCAGGCACTGGCATGTTCTTGAAGCACCTGGTGCACCTCGCACAGAGCAGGAGCCATACAGGCCTGTGAGGGTTTGTGTTCAGGGCACTGAACACAATCCAGCTGATGCCCAGGAGCAGTGAGTGTTCTGAAGGCTGGCAGAACCGGGGCCTGGGGCCGGAGGCTGGCAGGGACTTGAGTCCAGAGGAAGCAGAGCAGGGCATGCCACCCGTGGCCTGTGGCTCCTCGGGGTGGAGACTAGAGCAGGGCAGTGGCCGTGCAGGCACCCCTCCAGTGCCCAGTGAGGGAGGTTCGACTCAGTCTTTCCCAAGAAGCCCAGAGCCAAGCCCCGGGGGTGCCAGTGGAGCAGCTGGGGAGCTGGGAGCTCACCAGGGCCTGGGGCACTGACTGGAACCTTCCAGGAGGTCCTGGGCTGATAGCAGGGCAGTGGGATTCCAAGCCGTTTTCTAGTCCTGTGGGGAGATTTTACAAATCCCAGGGAGATGAAGAGGGTTGTCAGCATGGGGAGCCACAGGGACTTTCCTCCTGAGCTGTGCTAAGAAGGATGTCGCCAGCCCAGGCCCCTTTCCCTGATGGGCAATGCCGTCTCCCCCTGCTCTTGTCGCCCTGTGTGCTCTAATGTCCAGGCCACCATGAGGACATCACGCCAGGCCCCGTCCTGCCAGGAAGGGCATTCTCTGCTCTCAGAGACACTGGCACAGAGCATAGAGGCCTTGGCGCCCAGTGGACACAGTCCTCCTGGGGCTGGGCCTGGGCTCGCCCAGGTCAAAAGGCCCCAGACCCAAGCGCTCGGCTGTCGGACAGAGGAGGGGGCCGAGGGCACCCAGGCTGCACGGGCCGCCTCCACGGGGCTGACGGTACCAGCCCTGGCCCCGTCCTGTGTGTGCCTCCACCAGCCCACATGTCCCCCTCTCCCTTCTCAGGGAGCCTAGCAGGACGAGACCAGAGACTAGCACTGAGGTGTCCCCAACAATTTTATTATAAAGAAAAACAAGACTCCCACTTGGTGGCTGCAGCCCCTACCTTGGTGGCTGTGAGCACCTGTCAGAGGGACCTGACCCCTTATGCCCGTCTGGAGGCCAGAACCAGGGAAAGGGCCCCCTGTCCTGCCAAGCATAAAGGGGGCCTGAGGTACCAAGGGTAAAACCAGCCCGGAGGGACTCCCAGGCAGTGCTGACCCACCCAGGCCAGGCGGCTGCCTGCTCTGCGCCCTCTGCCCTGGGCCGGCTCCCTTCTCATCATACCACACTCTCTTCCAGCCTCTCCGCACTGCCCCCCACCCCCCGGCATCCTGCCCCGAGCAGCCCCCCATGCACAGAGTGGCTCCGTCGGGCCCAGGCCCCTCCAAGGCGCCTGGCATAACCGTAGCACCCGCCTGTGTCTCCCAGGTCCAGGGAGCAGCTGCGCTGGGGGCGAGGCGGGGGGCTCCTCGGCGGGTGGGTCTTGGGCGTGGGGCTGGGGCCTCCATTGGTCTGGGATTGGACGTGGCTGAGTTTGAGAGGGAGGCGGCCGTTCCCGGCCCCCCGGCCCCGAACCAGCAAGGCCACAGTGAAGACCAGTAAGGCAGCCACCAGCACACCCCCCACAGCCACAGTCAGGGTCCCGCCCAGCACATGGGCCTGCAGGGCATGGCACAGGGGCGTGGCTGGCAGTGTGGAGAAGTGGGCACAGCCCAGCAGCCTGGTGGCTGTGAGGTCGGAAGGCCCAGTGGCGGGTGACAGGGCCAGCAGGCAGAGGTCATAGTCGGCACCAGGGACCAGGTGCTTCAGCAGGAAGTGGTGGCTGGAGGCTGGGACGATCCTGCGGGCAAGGGCAGGCGGTGAGAACCTGGGCACTGGGTCCAGGCCCCGGCCCCCACCCTCACACAGCCTCGAAGCCCCCTTCACAGGCCACCCCCACTGCCCTCAGCATGCTCCCAGATCCCAGCTCTGAACACTCCCTCCCCTAGGACCGCATGGGCCTTGTTCACTCAAGCAGGCAGAAAAACCAAGACAGGCATGCGTGTGTGGCACTGGAGACAGTGCAAGGGGCCAGACAGGTGTGTGTGTGGACACAGGCCCAGGACAAGCCGAAGAGGCAGTGAGGATCACATCGCCAGGGGCAGAATCTGCGGACACGTGTGGACCCGGCCCCTGTGCTTGCTCAGCCACACCCCGGCCCTGGTGGGGCCCGCCCGCCTCCTCCCAGCACCTCCCACCTCCTCTCCCCCTGCAGCCCCAGCGCCCCCAGGCGGCTCCGAGGCTGAGGAGGGGCGTGCGGAAGCGCCTGGAGGGCTGGAGCGGGGGCCGCGGGGCTGCCCATGCGCCCTCACCGGTAGATGAGGGTCTCGTCCTCGCTGCTGTTGTACTGGATTTGGAACATCCACACGGGGTCTTCTGGCCGCCCCGGCCCCCAGCTCACCAGCCCTGAGGTGGCGGTCACCTCTGTCACCTGTACGGCTGGCTCAGACTCTAGTGTCCCCTCTCCCTCGGCAGCAGTGCGGGCTGAGGCAGCAATGTCCGAGGGCCCCGGGCGGCCCCCATCAGCGCTGCCATTCCCGCCGTGGGGCAAGGCCAGCACCCGTAGCTCCACGTGGGCTGTGGCCTCGCCAGCAGGGTTGGTGGCAATGCAGGTGTAGCCCCCTGCATCTCCAGAGCCTGTCACCCCAATCTCCAAGGTCCCGTTGGGGAAAGCCCTGGCTCGGGAGGAGTTGCCCACCAGCCGGTCATCGGGGCCCACCCAGTGCATGGTGGGTGCAGGGTCACCGAGGGCCCGGCACCGCAGTGTGGCCCGCTGGCCCTCCAGCACCCAGAGACGCTGCGTGTGGCGGGCGATGAGGGGCGGCTCACAGGAGAACTCGCCCTCGGGCACTGCCCAGAAGTAGCGGCCAGCCAGGCCTGGCGGGGAGGCGCACGTCTCCAGGTCGTCGGGCCGGGCCAGCCGCCGCAGCCAGAGCAGCTCGCAGTTGCAGTGCAGGGGGTTCCCGCTGAAGCTCAGCACCAGGGGGGCGGGCGAGGCCTCGGCGTCGCGCCCCCGGGAGAAGAGCGGGTCAGGCGCCAGTGTGGCCAGGCGGTTGGAGGTGAGGTCAAGGCGGGAGAGCTGGCCGAGTTGGGCAAAGGCGCCCGGGGGCAGTGCGTCGATGAGGTTGTGGTCCAGGTTGAGGGTGTGCAGGGCAGGCATGGCACCGATGCCAGCCCAGGGCACCTGCCGCAGGTTGTTGTAGGACAGGTCCAGGTCCTCCAGGCTGTCCAGGAAGTCGTCGAAGGCGCCTGGCGCGATCCGGCCCAGCTGGTTGCCGCTGAGGATGAGGTGCTGCAGGTTGACGGGCCCCCGCAGGCTGCTGGTGCCCAGCTCCACCAGCCGATTGCCATCCAGGTGCAGGGAGCGCAGGCTCTCCAGGTCCCCAAAGGCGCGGGCCCCGATGCGGGTGATGGCATTTCGGGACAGTGTCAGGTCCACCAGCCCTGTCATGTTGCGGAAGTCTGGCGGCCCCAAAGCCTGGATGAAGTTGTCGGCCAGCCGCAGCTCCACCGTGCGCCGGTCCACGTTCGGCGGCACAAACAGCAGGCCTCGGTGGGCACAGAGGGTGCTGAGCGACTCGGACAGGTTCTGGCAGACGCAGGGCAGTGGGCAGGCGGCCGCTCCGCTGGCCAGCAGCAGCAGCAGGAGCGGTGGGGCCATGGCGAGCGCCCTGTGGGGAAGGGCCACAGCCCAGGCACAGGTGGGGCTGGTGCAGGCTCACTGTGCCCAGGGCCCAGCTTCCAGAGCCTGGCCTGGAGGGGGTCAGGGTCAGAGGCCGCAGGGGTCCCCCAGGGTTGAGGGAAGGCTGGGGCTTGCAGGGACAGGCCCCCCTGAGTAAAGATCACATTTCCTAAGCAGTTAGGGGGAGTCCAGGCTCTGGGGACAAGGTAAGGCATGAGGCAGGAAGCAGAGGTGGCCACAAGAGCAGGGAGGGTCCTGGAACTTCCTTTCCCTGGCGTCTCCAGGAATCGCCAGCACCTCCCTTCGCGCCATCCCCTCCCCCGCCAGGAAGGGCACCCCCCCAACTCTGTGGCCCTTCGCCCCTCCCTGGCCAGCCTCCGCGCAGTACCCCGCGGCCCCCTCACCTGGTGTCTGTAGCTCAGGGGGCGCGGGCCGGCCTCCCCGTGGGCCCGGCCGGCCCTCGCCGACTCCAGGCGGCTCTCCCGCGGGGGCGAGGCCCGGGGCAGACCGGCCGCCCGCCGCGTACCCTCCGGCCCATGGCGCTCGGGCCCGCGGCCCCGACTCACTCGTTCCCGGCACCTTTTCCCGGCGCAGCTCGCGGTGGCGGCGACGGCGGCGACAAGCAGGCGGGTGCGCGCCAGCGAGCACGCGCTCCGCGGACACGCACGTGGAGGGCGGACGGGGAGGGGCGCGCGGGGATCCACCCCGGCCCGGGCCGGCTCCCGAGGTCACGGGGACACGCGGCCACTGCAGCGCCCACGGGTGGCTCCTGGTCACGCCCAAGGCCCTGGCTGGCGCGGGCCCGCCGTGCGGCCCCCCAGTGCTGCCGCAGCGCACTCACCCTGGCACAGGCGCGCGCGCCCCCGGCCGCCCTGGCGCCCCGGCATCCTGCACCGCACGGGCGCCCGCCGCCGCCGCCGCCGCTGCGCGAACCGTCACTCTGCAGACAGCCAGACAAAGCGCCAGCTCGCGGGCCCCTTCACCATCTCCCGGAGACGGGAGTCTTTGTCACATGTCGCTGGGCACCCTCCCCAACACACCCACACATGCCCACACACCCACACGTCCCCGCACCCACAGGCGGGGCTGGGCGCAAACCCGCACTGTTGCTGGGACCCTCACGTTCACAGACACACGCTGAAGGTCACAACCGTTCTGCATCACCGAGTCACGTGGATGGTCCCCAACAGGCACGGGGCCCTGGAGGGGACTGGGGCGGACTGGGGCGACGCCCCCGGCAGGCTGCCGTGGGTGGGGCCGAGGGGGCTCGGCCTCCGGGCTGGCGCCGTGCCCCGCCCCGCTGCCTGCCCCTCCCTCCCACTTCCAGGCTCCCCGCCCGCCCGCCGGTCTCTGCCTCGGGCCCGATTGGTCTGCGCGCGTTTCCCAGCAGGCCGGCGGTGGCACGCTGTTTGAAGCTGTGCGTCAGTGGTCCTCGCCGGGCGGCGGCTGCTCCCACTCCTCTCTGCCTCTGCCGGGCCATTTCCCTGGAAGGAGTCGGGGACACGGACACGAGCTCGGCTCGGCTGAGAAAGGGGCCCCGGTGTGAGTTCCCAGCTTCTTGCCTCCGAGAGCCGGAGCTGGGTGGCAGCGCTGTGGGCTCGGAACCAGGTCGCGCACCTGTTCCTTCGCAGTGGGCCACGGGGTTGGCAGACAGGAAAAGTCACCACCTGCCCCTGGTGTCTCCTAGTCCTTAGGCTGCCTGGGTCCTCCCCTGCCCCCTTCCCTTCCCTCCAGACCTGATTCCTAGGGGCTGGGTGCAGTAGGAGCTCAGGGGAAGAGCCGGAATTCTAATCCTGCCTGATACGGTAGGCAGCCCGGGGCAAGTTATTTAACCACTGAAACAATTTCCTCATCTGGGCCAAGGGCTACTGTGTGTACTTAGGGACTTGATAGGGGCGAGAGAAGAAGTGATGCAGCCATGAGGGGCTTGGCCACTGGGAGCCCACAGCCATTCTTAGCATTGCTGCTCCGGGGCCCCAGCTCTCGCCTCTGTGAAATGAAGGCGCTGGATCCTAGCTCTGGTTGAGTGTGTTGCTCAGTGGCATGAGATCCTTCTGTGTTGCTCTTCTCGTCATCAAAAATGTCTTCGTTCACTCTACACACACGTTTACTAGCATCTGTTACACGCAGCCCTGTGCTGGGAGTTGGGGTTACAGTACAGAGGAGATGACAGACCCTCCAGAATTACGGAGGGGGAGGGGTCTACAAAAGAGAAACGCAGGATGGGACAGAGGAGACCTCAGAGGATCCTCTCACCCCTATGCGGCTCTAGGTTCTTTACGTGGTTTCGCTGTGTTTCTCTTTTCAGGTGCCATGCCTTGGCCCAGGTGAAATGTCCCCATCTCTTTAGGAGGGACAGGGATCAGACTCAGGACAGACAGGCAGACCTGTCACACCAGACAGGCAAGAGGCCACATTGACTGGGTCTCACTCTGCAGTGGCCGCCTATGGGACGCTGGTGGGGGAGACACTCTTCCCATCTTGGCCTCCAGGCAGGAGGAGCCCTAGGGGGACAGGTAGCATCTCTCAGAGCAGCTCATGCTGCGCCTGGAGTCCCTATTGAAGGTGCCAGCAGGGATCATGAATGGGTGACAAACGGAGATACCTTTTCTGAAGGGACAGGCGCGCACAGTCTGAAATTCTGTCCTCGTGGCCTTGCAGTCATGGGGCATCTCTCAGCGCTGGCTCCGAGGCCCCATGCGGCCTCTGGGCTGGACTGCCCTGCCCCAGCTCCATGCTGTCATCCAGCGTTTAATCAGCAGAACTGAGGGTCCTTGTGCACAAAGCAGGCGGACCCAGGGACCTCAGACAGCACCCCTGCTGCCCTCAAGATGCTCCCAGCTGCGTGAGGAATGCAGACAAGCAAAAGATGATGAGACCAAGGGAGGAGCTGAGCAACCGCTGATCCCACGGAGGCCCCCTAGAAAGGGAGCGCGTGGCTCTGCTGTGAGGGCGGGTGGGGAGGACAAAGGGGGTCTTTGAGTTCCGACTTCCAGGAAGAGCTTCCAGGCAGGTGCAGAGGTGTGGAGGTGTGTGGCGTGGCTAGAAGTGGCTGTGATGAGGAAGCCTGGCAGGAGGCGTGGCCTGGAGACAAGAGGTCAGATCTAGAGATGGCCACTGTAGAATGGATCATCTGGCTGGACCAGTGACACGGGGGGGTAGCTGGTGACGGTGATGGAGTGTAGGGTTGGTAACTGGGTAGACAGGGAAGCCCACCAGAAGGCAGAGGCAGCCTGGGGGAGGGAAGCCAGTTTTGGACGTGATGAGCTTGTGTGAAGGACGCGCAGGAGAGGTGCGCAGGAGGCATTTCCACTGTCGGGTCTTGGCTCAAGCTGGAGGCCTGGGACGAGGGGCCCCAGGGAGAGTGTGCTGTGTGAGGTGAGGCCCAGTGACAGCCCTGAGGATGCCATCCTGCAGCCGGGAGAGGAGGCCCCAGTGGGAACTAGGGAGGAGGAGGAGAGCATGATGTCTTGGAAGCCCAGCCCAGGGAGAGAACGTCCCAGTAGGAGCTGTTTGCGAGAGGGTGGGACAGCGCCCGCTGAATTTAGTGACAGGAGAACATCGTGTGAGAATATTTGGTGAGACGATCAGTGTGGCCGCCTGTTGAGTGTGTAGGGGTTGGGGGGAGTTGAAGGCAGGGGCCTCTCAAGAATCGTGGCTGGAAGGGCGGAAGCGTGGCTGGTTTGCGCCACGGTGCTGTGGGAGAGGCCTAATCCACTTGCTCGGCTGTGTGGAGGGGAGGACGTGCTCCCAGGTCCCTGAGGAAAGAGGAGGTGGGATTCAGCACATGCCTTAGGTGAGCAAGGAGGGAGGAAGCAGGCTCAGCCCCCTGACAGCTTAGGGGACTCTGCCAGGGGGTTGTGAGGAGATGGGGAAATGCCACTCCACGCGAGGCCTTGAACCTCAGCACGGAATCCTGGGGAACCTGGGAAGCTATGCTGGCCCAGGGTGACACCTTCAGCCGCTTTCCTGATCCACGCTCCCACCCGCCTCTGTCCTGCAGACCAACATCCCCTTCCTGCAGAATGTGCTCAACAACCAGCAGTTCCTGGCAGGCACCGTGGACACCCAGTTCATCGACGAGAACCCGGAGCTATTCCAGCTGCGGCCCGCACAGAACCGGGCCCAGAAGCTGCTGCACTACCTCGGTCCGGCCCCGAGAATGCCCTTCTCTCCCCTCCCAGATGCCTCGCTTTGGCCCCCTGCCCACACCGCTTCCTAGTGCCCCCTGCCCTCAGTCTGGTCCTGCACCCTCCTCCCTTGCTTCACTCTCCCCCACCCCCACCTTCCTTGCTCCGGATCTTAGAGAACACCCCCCCCCCCCACCTTTTCCATCCATGTGGCCCTCAATAGGTCCCCACTGCCTGGACCCAGGAGGCCCTGGCTTTGGAGAGGACAGGGGCCAGCTGGAGGACCGGGATTCTTGGAGGAATCCCTCCACCCCCGAGCCCACCTACTCTCACTCCTGCCCTCAACTCAGACTCTGCCCAGCCTGCCCTGACCTGACGCCCACTGTCTCCCCAGGACATGTCATGGTGAATGGCCCGACCACCCCGATCCCCGTCAAGGCCAGCCCCAGCCCTACGGACCCCATTGTCCCTGCGGTGCCCATAGGTAAGTGAGATTCATTCTGCCAACTTGGGGGGAGACAGAGGAGGCTGCCACCTGCAGGATGGGTGCTAATGCCCTGGTCTGCCCTAGGCCCACCCCCGGCTGGTTTCAGAGACATCCTGCTTCGGGAGGGGCCCGAGGGCTTTGCTCGAGCAGTGCGGAACCACCAGGGGCTGCTGCTGATGGACACGACCTTCAGGGATGCCCACCAGTCACTGCTGGCCACTCGTGTGCGAACCCATGATCTCAAAAAGATCGCCCCCTATGTTGCCCACAATTTCAGCAACCTCTTCAGCATAGAGAACTGGGGAGGTAGGCTGGAGGAGGGCTGGAATGTGGGGCAGCACCTGGAAGGAATCTGGTACCCATGGTGTAGCCAGGCCCCTGGGGACTCTCTAGGAGAGGCTGGAGATGTTAACATTGATGGAACCAGTGATAACCGAACAAGGCACAGTGTTCATTTGTTCAGCAGTGACTGGTGCCCACTCTGGCCAGGCCTGGTGCTGGGCATGAGATCACAGAGACCCAGGCAGCTCAGGGCCGGAGACGAGACACCAGCCTGTTGGTTAATTTTAGCACAGAGCATTTGGGGGGGGGGGGCAGGGGGGAGGCTGCGAGAGGGGGTGCAGAGCACACAGTGAGCCTGAGCTGTCCTGAGAGATCAGCGAAGGAAAAAGTCTGCAGGGGTTGGGGTGGGAACTCGAGACCCTGAAGATGATCAGGGCCAGGTGTTTGGGCCCGAGGCTCAGGCTGCAGAGCTGCAGGGCGTGGTGGGGTTTCTGGGACATGTGGGGCTGACCTAGGCCTCTCGGTCCCTGTGCAGGAGCCACGTTTGACGTTGCGATGCGTTTCCTGTATGAGTGCCCTTGGAGGCGGCTGCAGGAGCTCCGCGAGCTCATCCCCAACATCCCGTTCCAGATGCTTCTGCGGGGGGCCAATGCCGTGGGCTACACCAACTATCCCGACAATGTGGTTTTCAAGTGAGCCTGGGGGTGGTGAGCAGACAGTGCACGGCGTGCCCAGGTGGGCACTGGGCCACACTGCAGTGGCCTCTGCCCTCCACCTGGCTCAAAACCAAGTCTCTCAGTGGCTGCACCCTAGGGGGGCTGCTAAGTGCAGAATTATAGTTCAGGAACTAGAAAGGGTTCTAGGTCATGGGGCAGTGGAGGCCCCGAGAGGGCAGGTGACTTGTCCCAGGCCATGTGGTGGAGAGCTCGGGCTAGAACCCAGGCCTCAGGACTCCTTGTCCAGTGCTCTTTGTCCCTCGGCCTGCCACTCCTTTGGAAAGCAAAGGGTCCCCAGCTGACCTCTCTGACCTGGGCAGACCAAGCTGCACCGCACGTGACTAGTGTTGGACAGCTCTGCTCTGTGCTGGATGCTCTGGGGCAATGCTGCCCAGCCCAGGCTGCCCTGGAGAAGGCCTCGTCCGCACGGTGGTTTCCCCGACACTGGCTCTGTGGGTGCTGTGCCCCTGCCAGGCTAGACTCTCCCACCTCATTCCCCAGGGCCCGCAGGTAGGCCAGAAGCCAGAGAAGGATGTGTTGGGGGGGGCGTAGGATGGGGCTAACTCTCAGGCTCTCCTGCCCTCTCAGGTTCTGTGAGGTGGCCAAGGAGAACGGCATGGACGTCTTCCGGGTCTTTGACTCCCTCAACTACCTGCCCAACCTGCTGCTGGGCATGGAGGCGGCAGGCAGCGCTGGTGGCGTGGTGGAGGCCGCCATCTCCTACACGGGTGACGTGGCCGACCCCAGTCGTACCAAATACTCGCTGCAGTATTACATGGATTTGGCTGAAGAGCTGGTGCGAGCTGGCACCCACATCCTGTGCATCAAGGTGCCTGGGCCCGCCCACCCCCGGGAGTCTCCCCCTTGCCCACTTCTCCCTCTTTGCCTCCCCACCACGTCCCCTCCTTACCGTCTTTCTCATTATCCTCCCCTCTTCCTTCAGGACATGGCAGGGTTGCTGAAGCCACTGGCCTGCACCATGCTGGTCAGCTCCCTCCGGGACCGCTTCCCTGACCTCCCACTGCACATCCACACCCACGACACGTCAGGGGCAGGCGTGGCAGCCATGCTGGCCTCTGCCCAGGCTGGAGCCGATGTGGTGGATGTGGCATCTGACGCCATGTCTGGGATGACTTCACAGCCTAGCATGGGGGCCCTGGTGGCCTGTACCCGAGGGACTCCCCTGGACACAGGTAGGAACAGCAGCAGCCCACGGCCATTCCCCTCTCAAAGCTGCAGCCCCCCCGTGGAGTCTGGTATATCTTAGCATCCAGATGCTCTTGCCTCGCCTTGCCTTCCATCACCCACATCTGAGCTGGGATCCGAGCTGGCCCGGGGTCCTGGGAGGAGCACCCGGGAGCTCAGCACATCTCCAAGCCTTCCCACCCCCGGCCTCCCTGCAGGGGTGCCCCTGGAGCGCGTGTTTGACTACAGTGAGTACTGGGAGGGGGCCCGGGGACTGTATGCGGCCTTTGACTGCACGGCCACCATGAAGTCTGGCAACTCGGACGTATATGAGAACGAGATCCCAGGGGGCCAGTACACCAACCTGCACTTTCAGGCACACAGCATGGGGCTTGGCTCCAAGTTCAAGGAGGTCAAGAAGGCCTACGTGGAGGCCAACCAGATGCTGGGTGACCTCATCAAGGTGAGCCAGGCCCAGTGCTCTTCCCCTTGCCTCTGGGCCTCCATAAGGTGCCTGGCACCCTAATCCGAGGGCCCTTCTCCTCAGGTGACACCCTCCTCCAAGATCGTGGGGGACCTGGCCCAGTTCATGGTGCAGAACGGGCTGAGCCGGGCGGAGGCCGAAGCCCAGGCAGAGGAGCTGTCCTTCCCCCGCTCCGTGGTGGAGTTCCTGCAGGGCTACATTGGCATCCCGCACGGGGGGTTCCCGGAGCCCCTTCGCTCTAAGGTAGGGAAGGCCCAGCACGATGTGAGGGTGAGGGCTGGTGCAGGAATCGGGCCTGACCCACAGCTTTGTTCCCCAGGTTCTAAAGGACCTGCCAAGGGTGGAGGGACGGCCCGGAGCCTCCCTCCCTCCCCTGGATCTGCAGGCGCTGGAGAAGGAGCTGACAGAGCGGCACGGGGAGGAGGTGACCCCAGAGGACGTGCTCTCGGCAGCCATATACCCTGATGTCTTTGCCCACTTCAAGGATTTCACTGCCACCTTTGGCCCCCTGGATAGCCTCAATACCCGCCTCTTCCTGCAGGGACCCAAAATTGCAGAGGAGTTTGAGGTCAGTGGCTCTGACACCTGTCTACACTCCACCCCCGCACCCCTGCCCCGGCCATCCCCGAGGACCCTGGCACAGCTAAAGCTCCAGCTTTAGCTCAGCTGTCACCTGGACTCATGAGGTGTGGGTGCGCAAAGTACCCTTGACAGACCAGGGAGCTAGGCCTTTATGAGTGAGGAGCTGAGACCCAGGGTGGGGGCTTGCCTGTGACTGGGTCAGGGGGCTGATCCCTCCCCACTCGCCCCGCCCCACCCTGAGCCTCCACGCCCTCCCTGCAGGTGGAGCTGGAGCGGGGTAAGACGCTGCACATCAAAGCCTTGGCCATAAGTGACTTGAACAGGGCCGGCCAGAGGCAGGTCTTCTTTGAGCTCAATGGACAGCTGCGGTGCATTCTGGTCAAGGACACTCAGGCCATGAAGGTACAGCTCCCCTGGGCCAGGCAGGCGGTGGGGATGGACAGAGCCTGGTGTCTCATGTGCCCTCTGCCCTGTCTGCAGGAGATGCACTTCCACCCCAAGGCCCTGAAGGATGTGAAGGGTCAGATTGGAGCACCCATGCCTGGGAAGGTGATAGACATCAAGGTGGCGGCAGGGGCCAAGGTGGCCAAGGGCCAGCCCCTGTGTGTGCTCAGCGCCATGAAGATGGAGACTGTGGTGACCTCGCCCATGGAGGGCACTGTCCGCAAGGTCCATGTGACCACAGACATGACACTGGAAGGTGACGACCTCATCCTGGAGATTGAGTGATCTTGCCCCAGACTGGCAGCCCCACCCCAAGCCTTCAACAGACGTTGCGCTGCCAGGGCAGGCCCAGGTCAGCCAGTGCGGGGGGCAGGAAGGCCTGGCCCCGGAGCTCCTGTCCTCAGCGGCTTGTGGCAGGAGACACTGCCTGCAGTGGCCCATTCCCTTCCTCCAGCCAGCTGTCCTTTCCCTGCTGGTGGACAGTTGCTCACGCATTCATCTCTTGCCAAACAAGGGTCCTCCCCTTGCTGGAGACTGCATAGGTGGTGGCACATCACAGGTGGGCTGAGCACGCGGGGGAGCAGGTTTAGGGGTCCTACCTCCTGTGGGGGAGACGTAAGCCCCAGGTCCTGAGAACGATGCTCAATAAAACTGGCTTTCTCCTGCCCTCCACGCTGGGTCCTGTGCAGCCCCCGCCCCAGTGCCGCTGGGCAGACAGGCAGGGCTGACTCTTGGACTCCCACAGGGGCACATCAGCTTATCTTCCTCCTTGGAAGGTGTGAGGATGACAATAGTGGCCTTGGTTTAAGCCACTACAGAGTGCCTATTGTATACACACCCTAAACAGGATTAGCTAGTTGTTACAGGGAGCTTGCTTGGTGGGGAGGGGTGCTGTGCTAAGCACTCACACACTAACTCAGGGAGTCGACCTTCACCCGTTTCGTGGACACAGAAATGAAGTCACAGCAAGGTTAGCTAACCCATCCAGGAGAGGCAGAGACGGCTCAAACCCAGGCGGTTAGGGGACTTGCTTCCCCACCGCACGGCTTTACTTTCTAAATCTAGGGCCAGCCTCCCACAGTTCAGGACTGGATGCAAAGAGGCGCCACCTTCTGGGAGGTGAGAGAGACTCTCAGGTGTGAGAACCTCTGGGTGTGAGGAATTTGCTGGAAGGTTAGGAGCACGGGACTGAGAGTCCTAGGATCTAATCCTGCCCATCCCCCACAACCAGCCCTCCAGAGAATCGTAATCCTCAGGTGCAGTTCCCTCACCTGCAAGGTGGGACAGCAACCTTGTCTGCATCACTGCACTGCTGCTCCCCACCCCATGGGGAAGGTGAGGATGGTGACTGAGGTGAAAGGCAATTCCTGAGCAGGAACACAAAGAAGGGGAGGGGCAGAGTCCAGATCCCTGGACCCTGGGAGACCAGGCAGGAAGTACAGCCCCAGCACCCTGCCAGCCCAGTGCTCTCGGGGTACCACAACCTAATCTTTGGGGTGGGCCTTGGCCGCCTCCTCTTTGGCCTCTAGGATCCCAAATGTACCCTCTAAAACAGGCCGGGGCCCAGGCTTCCCCCCCTCGCCAGCTGCTACACAGGCTGGGGGAGAGGAAAGTTCTCCAGCAAGGTAGGTGTGTGTGATGATGCCTTTTAGATCCAGGTGAATGTAGTTTAGTCACAGCCAACCTGGGGTGCCATGGGAAGTGACTGGCACATCAGTTTCCTTTCCTTCAACCACCAGCCTCAGGGAAGGGGACTCAGAACAACTTCCCTGAGTTTGGAATGTGACCCGAAGGAATAATATTCTTTTAAGATTAAAAAAAAGTGGTCTCATGGGAATGAGAACATGAAACACGTTCTAAAACCAAAAAGAAGAGCACGTAGAACACCAGCAGGTTCCAAGAACGAGCCTGGAGCTGTGCTGCCGCTCAGCAGGGCTGCGGCCTTGGTTCTGGTTCTTCCGGGGACCAGACAAGCAGCACAGAGGCAGATGTCTGAAGTGGAGAGACCCAGAGAAACGTCTCCTACCAGGTGACTTTGAGCTGGTTCCTTTTCTAGTTGGACCTTTTTCTTCATGTGTAATGTGAGGCTGGTAGACACTGGTGAGGTCCTGATGGGGCCCCCACAGCGGACCCTCCACCCTCTCAGAGGACACAGGCTGGAGGCTCCATCACTGTAGTCGGGGCCCTGGGTCCCACTCCCCGACCCTGGTAGCCAAGGCAGAGGCCTGGGGATGAGCTGGGCCCACACCTGGTACCTGCAGTGCCAGGCCCACCTGTGCTAGGACTTGGGGCCTGGCTCAGGAAGGAAGATGCTACTGACAAGGCAGCCAGACACCCCCATCCTTTCCCCATTCCAGGGGATTGTGCCTACCAGGCTGACCTGCCCAGAGTCAAGCTAGCTGGGACAGGTGGTGGGCAGTCCCAAGACCCCAAATAGACTGATTCCCAAAGGTCCAAGGCCATGTTACCCAAGTTAAATCTCTTTAATATCCCAATACAAAGTCCTGATGCAAAAAGACAATGAGAAAACCCTGGGAAGTTAGGGGGAGGGGTTTTGTAAATTCCACCCCCGAGCAGCTTTGCAGAGGCAGAGGGTCCAGAGGAACTCAGAGAAGCAGCGATCCAAAGTGAGGAAGGGAGTGCACGGCTCCTGGGACCTGCCCCTTGTCCCCTCACTCCCCGCTGCTGCTCAACCCCCTTTTGAGAGGGGCCATACACTTTGGATATCTGCTCCTTTCTCTTGGTCCCTGGGATTCAACTAGCTCTGGCTTCAATCCCCTACAAAAATTCCTGAGATCTCGGGGACCCAAGCCAGCTCCTCCCCTGCAGCACCCCTTGCTGGGGAGGGGCTGGGGAGCCCGTGAGAGTTCATAGGAGTGTGTACAGGAGCGTGGGTCAGGAGCACAGGGGAGCCTCTGAGTCCCCTGCCCGCTCCAAAAGCACACAAAGGGGAAGGCTGCCGTAGAGCTTGGGGTCCGTGAGGGGCTGGAGCAGAAGCAGGAAGAGTCCCACACCCAGGGCATAGCCTGCCAGCAGGGGCCGCCTCTGCGGATGTTCCAGGGCCGCACAAACGGCAGGGAAGCCCATGTAATTGCAGAAGGAGTGGCAGAGAACCGGCCCAATCAGGTGTCCTGGGGAGGGGAGACAGAGTAGCTCATGGGGCAGTCCCACCACCTCCCCAGCCCTTCCAGGGCTAATGACCCTCAGCTCCTGGAACCGGAGATCAGTGCTCCACCCACCCACACACCACAGCCTCTGCTTCCGTCCGCCTCTCAGACCTCACCGGGTTGAGGGCCCTGGCTCAGACCTGTCTCAAGGGCGTGGTAGAAGACACTTGTTGCTCCTAGAACAAACACAGTATTCCCATTCTCCCTCCCACTCCTGTGGGCCCCTGAGCCCCCGGGAACCCATGAGAGACTGAGGACCAACCTGTGCGGATGAAGAGGAAAGCAGTGTAGGCACCGAAGACAGCTGTGTAGGAGAACTGGAACGCTGGAGACGGGGAGGCCGCGAGTGACCACACCTGTACGCTCTTCCTGCCCCAGCACTGCACACCCATCAGCCAGAGACATCCCCTTCCCCCTGGGGGCAGTGGCTGCCTGCTCCAGCACCTACGGCTGTCCTCTGCACCCCAACTCCCATGGTCAGCAGTCCCTCAAATACTATAGCCCTCTGTTCCCAATTCTTCCTCCTCTTCCTAGCTATCAGGGATACCCTCGCACACCCTAACCCAGGATTGCCCCAGGCAAGCTCTCTAGGACTCACCTGCAGACAAGAAGATGCTCCCCACACTGCTCTGGCGAAAACGAAGCTGCTCAAAAATGTGGTGAAAATGGGCTGGGAGGAAGGCAAGAACTGTGTCACATTCCTCCTGGTCCTGGTCTGCTCTATAGGTCCGACCCTTGCCCCAAGCCCCATTCTCCGCTCTCATGCTGGGAACATCTCAACAGGATCAGGTCGGACAGACTCACCAACTCCAAAGAAGAGTGGGCAGGTGAAAACAGCAGGGCCCAGGCCCGTGCATGGTGCTAACATGGGCAGCATGCAGGCCCGGAACACCAGCTCCTCTGTCAGGGGGGCGATGACTTGGTTTCGCAGCCAACGCATGTCTGTGAGGCAGCGGGCCCAGGAGCGAGGGGCTAGGGAGGGGATTCAGGACAAGCAGTGAGTGACCAGTTAGTGAACAAAGAGATCCTAGAGGTCTCAGGGGTCCCTCTCCCATAACCTTCTCCTGGCCAAACTCAGGTTAGGCACCAACACTCCTGAGAACAGTTAAGGGTCGACTTTGATTATCAGATCCAGCATAAAACAATGTCTCAAAAGACATTAGAAAGGGTAGGCATTAGTAGCTGAGGCAGGATATCCTGGTAGTAAACTCTGGAAATATCAAAATTTGCCCAAGACCAGTTCTGGTTTGGGGGAAGCCAAAGTTAGGGGAGGCAGGGGATAGTACTCTCTAGTCCACACCAAATACTGCTTGGTGGTCCCCAGAGGGCTCCTTGGACATCAGGAACTAACTCTTAAAGGCCACCTGCTATATGTTCTCATTTTGCTGATAGGGAAACACAGAACGGCTCACGCCTCATGGCCAGGTTCCACCATGAGCCCACTGACTCCCTTTCCCCATTGTCCTGGACCGCCCATGCCTACTCTTTCCCTTAGCCCTGAGGACTCACCTAAAACAACCTTCAACCCGTCTGTCAGGTCACAGGGGCAATCCATAGAAAGCTGCATCAGTGGGCCCAGGAAAAGGATCTGAGGACAGAAAAACAGGAGCGATCAAAGTAAAGGCTTAAACCATAATCCACTGCCCTTGCTCAGACAAGGTATCATGAGACTTCAAGCTTCCTGTTCTCAGCCAGGTTTTCCCACCCATGCATACCCGACGGACGATAGCCATATCACAATTCCTGTCTCCCATCAGTCAAAAGCTAGACACAATCAGAATAACACAAAAAGGCCACGGAAAAGAGCGTCATGCTAATAACAAAGAAAGAGGAAGAAACACAAAGCAGGAGTACTCACCATGGTCAGCAGCAGGGGCAACAGTGCTGCTGGGAAAATGCCCTCTAGCCTGAAGCCCATCAGGGTGAGCAGGGATGTGCCTGGCTGAGCCACAGGAAAGGGGGCATCAGTCTTGCTCCCTCCCCTAAAGAGTCCCAAGATCTCTCCCCAGCTGCCCTCTGCCCCGCCTCCTCCGCACCTGGATGCCCGTGAGTTCCCTCCAGAGTAGCACGCAGAGGGGCGAGAGACTGGACACCACCAGGACACTGGTGAAGCGTCGCTTAATGACGGCAGGGTGGTCCCTGCGGAAGGAGCAGTAAGTTCGGGGGGCCCACAGCCGCCTCCTGACAGCGCGGCCCCGCCCCCGGCTTGCGCAGGCTCCGCCCGCAGCCCCGCCTCCCGGAGGCGCGGGTCCCGGCCGCGCGCGCAGTCTCCGCACCTGGGCAGCTCGCTCTTCCAGACGTAGAGGCTGCCCACGTAGGAACAGGCGAGGCTGAGACATGAGAACACGGACACCCAGCAGCAGAGCCCGGGGCCTGGGCCGCCCAGAGCTGCTGACTCCGGCTGCCGCTCCGGCCGGGACACCGACAGCAGGCGCAGCCCATCCCCGCCCAGCGCCGCCATCGCGCCCGGACCCGCGGCGCGCACCAGTGACGTTATCTCGCCGCCGGTGGGCCCGCGCCTGCCGGAAGTGCGGGTGACGTCATCCGGCGGCGCGGGCTCCCGGACCTGCCCCGCCCCGCCCCTGACACTGACACAGACACGGGGCGCGCGAAGCAGCTTTATTGAACTGGAGACGGCGCGCGGCGCCGGCGGGTCGGCGTGGACGCGCAGGGAGAGGGCCCGGCTTAGGGCCCAGGGTCGGGACTCAGCCACTCGGACAGATTGGAGACCTCCTGCAGCCACAGCGCGTCCTGCGAGAGGAAAGGGGGCCCGGGGTGAGGACCCCTCGGCCGCGTCCCCGCCCTCCCGCCGCCCCTCTCTTGTCCGGTTACCTCCAGGCCGCTCCCCGGGCTCGCCCTGCTAGGGGTCAGGGAGGTCGCGGTGGGCTCCGCCGGGCGCGGGGCGGCCTCTGACGGGCTCGGGGCCCTGGCAGAGTGGAAAGCCCGCGTGTCCTCCACGCCATGGCGGAGCCTGCCCTTCTTGAGCCTCTTGTTTGTTACTTGCCTACTGGTCCCTAGGAGAAAACGAGCCCACTCATCTTACTCTCCTGGTGCTAGAAGGACCCTTGGGGCAGGGGTAAACCTGGGAGAAAGGGACGAGCTGGGGCCCTGCTCTTTTAGTTCTCCCACCTCAGATTCCTTTCATCAGGTCCTGTCCAGATCAAAACCCGGCAGCTCCGAGCCTTCCAGATCAGGCTGAGGCTGCAGAATGGTTTCAGGGTCTCCCTATCCCCTCTGGGCTGGTTCCTGGAAGGGGCGTCTGGGATTGTACCAAGCCCTTAGTTGGGGCTCACCCCCAGTCAGTCACTGTCTGCACACCGATTTTTCCTGGAGTCTGCACTATCCAGCTCCCTCCCTGCCACGCTCTGATTCTCCTGCCCTAAAGCCAGCCTTCACCTGTCTCTCCCACTGTTGCTGACGCTGCATTGGGCAGTGCCCATAGGCAGGCTTCCTACTATTAACTGATTCACTTGTGCAAATTTAAAGCGAGTTTGGATCAATAGATTCTTCCTGAGCAGGTCTTGGGAATGTAGATCAGTGAGCTGTCCCCTGGATGAAGTCACAGAGGCCAGAAGCGATGCAGAAGTGTGTATAAAGCCCAGGGGTGGAACAGAGAAGCTGTCAACCTTCTCTGGAGGTGAAGAAAGGTTTCCCTGAGGAGATGTCTGAGCTGGGTTTTGAAGGATGAAGATAAATATGCCAGACTGACAAGGGAGAGGAAAGGAATTCAGGCTGAAGGAGTCAGACAAACACCCAAAGGGGTTAAACAGTATCCTACATAAGTGCAGGGTCAGGGGCTGGCCCCGTGGCCTAGTGGTTAAGTTTGGTATGCTCTGCTTTGGCAGCCTGGTTCAGTTCCAGGTGCGACCTACACCACTTGTCGTCAGCCATGCTGTGGCAGACGACCCACAAAATAGATATTGACAGGGATGTTAGCTTAGGGTGAATCTTCGTCAGTAAAAAAACGCAAGGTGGGGAGTCCTGGGAGATGACTCTGAAGGGATTAGTAGGAATCAGAGAAGGCTAAAAAATGAATTTTTATCTGTAGGAAATAGGAAAGCAGTGAAGAGTTTTAAGCACTGGAGATATTTTGTATTTTAGAAAGATCATTCTGTCCAAGGTGTGGCTTAGAGTCAAATTAGAGGCAGGAAGACCTCCAGAAGTGAGGGCAGTGGAGACAGAGGAGTTAGAAGTATTCATGAGGCCAAATGGACAGGCCTTGGTGATAGACGAGATGTGGAAGGTTAGAATGAGGAGCATCTTGAATGAATCTCAGGTTTCAGATGTGAAAACTGTACAGGTAGTGGTGCTACTAATCATGACAGAGACTAAAGAAGAAGAGCTGATCTTGGAGGTATGTGCAGAGGGCAGGGTATTAGGAGAGAGGAACTTGAGGTACCACTGGGACCTCCACGTGGAGCTGCCTAGGGAGCAGATACATCTCCCATCTGGCGCTCAGGAGAGGCCTAGGCTGGTCACACCAACTGGGGAGTCTTGAGCCCAGAAGGAGGAGTCAGCGCCGGGGATGGAAGAGAGCAGTTAGGGAGGGAGTGCTGTATGAGCACTGTTTCGGGATGGCCAGAGAAAGCCAGGTGAAGAGAAAAGGCCAGAGAGGGGAGAAGCAGGGGAGTCACAGTCTTACAGTGCCAAATTCTGCAAAGAGTTAGGTACAGTAAAAATAAATGTACAATCAATTTGGTAATTAAGAAGCCTTCCCAAACAAGAGACTTGCAGTTCAGAGGCCACAGGGAAAGCAAGTGCCTGGGGTTAGGGAGAGAATGAGGGGAAGAAAGTTTTTGAGAACTTGGCTGAGATGTGATGGAGAGATGTGGAAGAAGTTCAAGATCATGGGAGATTTCCTTTTGAAGAATGAGAGATGGACCTGCTGATGGTAAAGAACTCAGAAGAGAAGGTGAAGGTGCAGAAGTGATAAGTGATGCGAGCAGGCCCCGAGAAAGCTCAGGTAATGCCACCCCTGAACCTGGAAGAGATGGGTCCCATGCTGATAAGGTTCAGGCAGTCGGGGGAGTACAAGTTGGGTGAGTTTACTGAGAACAGAGATCAGTAAATGTGAAGCAGGAAGCTAAGTCAGGAGGCAGAGGCTAGGTAGGTTGTTAAAAGAATGGAGTAGCCACTGAGGAGAAGGCCAGGAAGACAACAGAAAGGACTGACAAACTGAAGGCTTCCCAGTGAAGAGACCACAGACGTATGGTGGCATCACGCAGCATTCAGTGATTTTCTTCAGCAGAGCTGCCCACATGGGGCATAGGACTGATGGCAACTAGAGTTACAGCTTTGTAAGGCAGAGCAACCCAAGCCATCTTCCAGGGGGTTCCACTAGATTACACACGCCTAGGTTTTAAGGCTTTCAGAGAAAGCATGGGCTTTAGAGGCAGGAGGCTGAATTCACATCCTCCTACTGCTAAGCGCTCTACCCGACCTCAGCCTGGGTTGTCTCTTTTGTGAGAGAGGACCAATGCTGCCCACCCCAAAGGGGCTGTGAAACCCACCGTGAAACAGCAGTCACTGTGGAAGAGCCTAGCATCGCCCCAGTTCCACAGAAGGTGCTGAATTAAATGTTAATTTCTTCCTTCTAAGGAAAGTACTTATTCTTTTGTCCCTTCACTGCATAAATACTGAACTGTATGTGGTAAATACTGAATTGTGGTATGCTTCCATTCTTTCACAGCTCCAATCTAAATTTATAAAAATAGATTCTCTGCTTTATACAAGCCTTCACTGCAGGGTTCTTTTCAGCAGCAACAGCCCCCTCAACATTTAAAACATGGTTCACTTGACAGAATGATTCAAGAACACATCCTAGGCCAAAGCATAGACAACGTACAGCATGTTGTAGTTGTGACCCTGGAAAGAGGAATTTTACCAACAAAGCACAGGTGCTGAAGTCAGTCCCCAAACGCCCTCGAGCCCAGGCGCTGTTTTGTCTGACAGTGCATTCCCACTCATCTGGCTCTTACTGACAGACCAGAGCCACGCTGCCTGGGTTTGAATTCTGGCTCTGCCATTTACTAGTTACGTGACTTTGGTAAGTTTATTGACATCTCTGGGCCTCAGTTTCCTCATCTGTACAATGAGAATAATAAAACCTATGCCTCATAGGATTGTTTTGAGAATTAAGAGCACTAATACATCTTGAAAGCTCAGAACAGTGCCTGGCGTCTGCATCACACAGGTTCAGGTACCAGCGGGTATGGTTATTTCAAGCCACACACACCCCCCTGCCCCTGCTGGCCCTGCTTAAATGTTGGAGGGAGCAGGAAAGACTTCAGTATAATCACCATCACATCACACACGCTGACGCCTCTCCATAACATACATGAAGTTGGAGGTAGTGTCTGCGCCCAGGAGCAGCCTCCCAAGCCCCAAACAGTAGTAACCCAAACTAAGGAGAGCTGCACTATCAACACTAATGATGGAGAAAAGACGTGAAGGAAACAACTGGATTCAGGGGCCCGCCCCAGCATGTGCAGCTCTCTGTAACTGCGCAAACTATATGCAAAATTTCTAGTCCTCTCACCAGCTTTTGGGAGGGAACGCCTCCTGCTGTCCTAGAACACCTGTAATGGCAGTGGGAGCCAACCCCATCCCAGAAGGACATTGCTGTGGTCAAAGGTGCAGTTTGAAAGCTTCAAGTCACATTTTTTACTTCCCAGCTTTGCTCCAGCACTCACCTGAAAAGCTGAAACCTTACCTGCAAGGAACTCCAGGCTGCTGTTCTCATGTGCATCCTCTGTGCTCTGCTCTGCATCATTTTTCTCTGGGAGGAGCTGCTTAAAAAATTAGAAGTCCTAAGTGAGTTTTGCAGAAGCCTAAATGCGTCCCAGAGAGACGAATGTGCCTGGTGGCTTTATTGACCTCACAGGGCTGTCCTCCCACACCTGGAACTCCCTCTTACTTCCTCCTGGCTAATGTGAACCGCCCCCCCCCCCCCCCCCCCCCCCCCCCCAGCCTTCAAGGCTTCCGTTTTCTGTTGGGAGTCTTTATAGCTAGCTCCAGCCACTCTGGGCATTCCCTTCCTCCTCTGAACTCCAGTCACTCGCCTACTGTCTGCCCCATTCCTCGGGCTCTGAAGGATGCACTGCCTGGCCCTGTTCATTTTTATGTGAGTGTGTCCATTTTCTACATCTTGAAGTTCTTGAAAAGCAGGGTTCCTCATGCCTGTATCTCTTTATAGCTAGTACAGTGCCTTGCACAGGGTAAGTGCTCAGCAAATGACTGACTGAGGTCAAACCTGGGAAGCCACAGAGCACATCTGTGCTCTTTGAAAGCCCTGCCATACTCAGTTCAGTGGGGACAGAGAAACTAAGGTACTTACTAAGATCAGAACCCAATCTTCCTAGTTCCTTGTTTTTCAAGAATACAAGTGTATAAAAACAGATATCCTCTTCATCAAAATTAAAAACTTTTGTGCTTTAAAAGACACTATAAAGAAAAGTCAACCCTCAAGAATGAGAGAAAATATTTGCAAATCATACCTGATAAGGGACTTGTATCCAGAATAAAGAACTCATATAACTCAACAAAATAACAACCCAATTAAAAAATGGTTTGACAAAGGATTTGAATAGACATTTCTCTAAAGAAGAGATACAAGTGGCCAATAACACACGAAAAGATGCTCAACATCATTAGTCATTAGGGAACTGCAAATCAAAACCACTATGAGAAACCACTTTACACCCACTAGTATGGCAATAATAATAATAATAGACAATAACAACCGTTGTTGAGGATGTGGAAAAATTGGAACCATT